TCTTACTACAGCTTCTCAAAAGGTCACCTTTAAAAGACTGTGTATTTTTTTTGCCGCCAGGTTAACGGTCGTCCGCTTCCTTGTACTTCACAAAAACAGTGCCATTAAGCCCAGAGGCTAAATACGACTTAGAACATCTAAATCATACCTCACTTGTAAAATGGCAGAAACAGGAACAAAGGACCTCCAAGCTGCGCATTACAGCATTGGCAGTCTATTCTTGTCCCATGGCTAAGGTTTGTGGGGTTTGAGCCCATAAGCTAGAAAATAGGAATGAATCTACAGCGAGAGTGTGTTCAGAATATTGCAAGGTAATGTGGTCTTAAAGCACTGTTTCAGGATTTAGCAGTAGGATTCTGAAACAGCACTTCACAAGATCATTTGAGCACATTAAGCCATATTTAAATGTAGCATATAAAAATGAAAGACTAAAAGTCAGTATTAGAAATTGGCTTTCTTAGATCTATTTTAGTGGTAGCCTGTCGACCGGAGCCATCGTTAACAGGAGCCTGAGCCTGACAAGGCAACTCTTAAGAAAAGCTACTCCAAAGGCTGCATATTAGTATAAATGAAAATCAATTAACACAGCCAGATCTTCAGTTAGGAATGATTTGTGCACATGATTTGTAATTCCCTCTCTTAACCCCTTTCTGTATGACTGAGACTTCAATTTCAATCTTTCACCACAAGGTATATTCCAGAAAACATATATAAACCACCTACTGCTAAAATACAGATCAAAAACTAATGCACTAGTTCCAGTTTCCAAACCAATAATAGCTAAATAGTCATATAAATAGGAACACCACAGGTGTGCTGCTCAGCACAGACCACTATGAATAACAATTGATATTGTGTGAAGCACAGAAGGAATTTCTGTTAATAGGATCTAGGGTACAGTAGGTTAATGACACACTAAGCAGTAAGATGTAAAGCTGTTACTAATGATAAAAAGTGCATCTTTTATAAAAAGCCTTAACAAAATAAACTTTGAAATTCATTAGCAATACTTTCTAATGAATGAGGTTTCCAAAGTCTCTAGGAGACACTTCAGTCTCTCCGAGTTTCGACGCTGTGTGGACGCAGTTCCCCAAAACGTTTGGAAAGCATCAGTGCAAATTTCTCTACGTCTTGGGTTTGAAGGGATTTGGGGGCAGGAGCATATCAGTGTTTGCTCTGAATAGTGCTACATGCCAATAGCTCCTGGAAATAACCTGCAAAGGGACCTGCGGATGTGGCGCTGCCAGTCACTCCAGCGCCACGAGGGCTGTGTCGCGTCTCGGCGGCGTGACGACCTCCAGGCCAGTACCAGGCGCCGCAAGGAGCCAGGCTGCCACCCTTTCCACCAGTCTGCCCCAGTTTGCCCCAGTGCCCTTTTCTCGGCACTCTCGGTACTTCTGTCTGCGTTTCGGCTGCCTTCAGCTGGGAACTCTGCTCCCGGGGAAGGGCCGCAGCCGGCTGGCACGGCGAGCTGGCAGTCGCGGCAGGCGAGCGAGGAGGCTGCAACGTGTTTATTCCTCCCCGAATGCCTCTCCTGGGGCTGCTGGCTGCAAGGGGCGCTCGGGAGCCCGTGGCGCGTCCTGACCGGGGAAAACATGTCATCTAATTAAAGAAAGGCTGCCCGCTCCAGGACTCCTTCCAGTTCGTCGCTGGCATTTCAGTGATTGACAAACAGGCAAAAATATATTTATCTAAGGATTATCTATATTGAAAACTGGACGTGGGATTTTGTCTTTGTAAACAGTGCAGTAATATCTGCTGTTTGAACAAAATGAAGGGTATTCTTTCCTTCCATTTAAAGCACCAAAAAGCTCCCAGATTTATGGAAGGAGGGGAGACATTTGGTTTTATTGATCCTGCTGGCTGAAGATGATCTGCATTTTTTTGAAAAGATCTGTGACTAAGGGAGCACTAGGTTGATTTTCACTTTATTGGAAGGGTTATTAAGAAGCGCAGGGCGTATAAGCTATTAGAGAGATGCTTGCCCTTGAAAATAGCCCTTAAAATCTTGCACAATTAGGAAAAATCCAGAATGATCCAGCACGTTTCTTCATAGGAAGAAAAGTCACTTTGATATATTGAGGGCCCAAAATGTAACACTGCATTTGCTCTGAATAATAATTGCATTTTGAATAGCTACGTTTGAAGCGAGCGTAGATGGGAACACAGCTACTTCCGTGCGCCTGAATTACACCACAGAGAAACAGCTCCTTCAGAAAAGAACCTTTATTGATAGTTTTGCTGTTGCCCCAAGAGATATCATCCCCTATCATCCACCTATAAATAATCCCATAGGTGCTTAATTATCAAAGGGCTAATCATGGCATGGTTACAGCCATGTGCATTATCCACGTGTTTGTGTCAAGGGATGAAAAGTAGACAGGATGAAAGACCTTCTCCCAAATATTTGTTAATTAAATCTATTGTTTATGCAAAATAATGAAGTGGCTGCCCTCCACAGTAGGTCTCTTTGTCCGCAGAGCAGAAGCAGAATGAGTAAGATCGTGGGAATCTCCCTCGTCTCTGATTTCCGATAATCTAATTCCATTGACATCTGAATCCCTTTTTACACTAGGCTGAACAAGTTCAGAATTAGGCAGAGAAATATTGTTAAAGGAGAGGCAGGTTTCTTGCAAAGAATTTAAATAAAATATTACTTCATAATTTATGATCTGAACACAATCCCCTATTTTCATAAATAAAGCTCAGATGATTTCTTATGTGTGCACGTTGCTAAAATCTCAGTGCTATTGAACATATGTTGGTTTTTTGTTTATCTGCTTTTTTTCTTCTCGTTCAATCAAATATACAAGGTTTTGGTTTTGTTTTGGTTTTTTTTAGGAAATGTCAAATGTTGAAAACAACAGTGAGGTCTTACAAGTTTCCATCTGGACAAAGATATCACTGTCTAATTTTTTGTATTCAGCTTAGAAGCTCGTCTGAAGCATAGTGCCGTTTGCTGAACTTATCTCTATTTCTTAAGCTTGGATTACTAATTTTGCATCACAATAAGATATTTATTCAGAGAGGCAGCTAGTTCTTTCCTTTAAAAGTGATATTATTTGACGGAATGACCACACTTTTTTCCCCCTAAATGAAGTTATGCAAATCTGATCGACTAAAGTAAATGTTTCATAAAACCAATGACTGTTTAAATTGTGGGACTAAATTGTTTGTATATAAATATTACCTTTTATATTCCATTTGAGTTTTATGTAGATGAACACATTACTTTAATGACCTGCATTTACAGAGGGAGACAGAGAGAGTCTGACTCTGAAATCCTCAGCAGCCAGATGGCTGCCTTTTCTTGCATGAGATTAAAAGATGTTTCTCATTCACAGCCTTGCTTCGGAGGCAAATTAATATAGCCAGCTAAATTGCTTGTGTTTTTAGAATAAAATTTAAAGAGAACTTTTTAAAGCAATTGGTGTCACAGGTTCCTAGAGCAGATTGCTCTCCAGGTACAGCATGCTGGTTTTAAACATTCAGTAATTAATGGAAAGTATTCCGTGTTAATTGACTGCTTCAGGAAAGGGAAATATAATGACTCCTTATTAATCATGAAAAGAGACATACAGCACGGAGGCACTGCAATAATTGCGCTAACGGTTGAGAAATGTTAATTAATGAAAAGAACAATGATGTAAGAAATTAGCTACATAATGCTTGCTGCTGATGGAGACTGTGCTTTAAACACATTATTTAGCATGGCAGCCATTGGATGGTGCCTTAAATAGCAGGCACCTCTTACCCTGTTCTTCAGTTGGCTACAGAGATTCAAATGTTGCCAGTGTTTTGTTTTTTAATGAGCTAAAATATGCTCTGCAAAATTACATTTTTCCAAAGAGTTTTCAGTTTGAACTCCTGAACTCAGAACTATTCCAACAGATTGACAGAGTTCAACTTATATGAAAATATTATTCAAGTATAAGGGAGCATGTGAACATTTGTTTGGTGGGAAACAATTTCTTGTTAGATGGGCTGAGCTGGATGGGTTTGCTAGAGAAGATAGCTGCATCATGAGACCTCTTCCCCTTTGTTTCTTTTTCCACTTTTTAAGCAATTACCTATCCCCTAAAGAACTTAGAATTAGCATTCAGTCATATTTGTGCCTGACTTTATGTAAAAATTCATAGGATATTAAAATGCAGAACAGTTCTGGCAACTAATCCAGCAGCAGTAGTAATTCATTACTACGATCATTAATGGATTGAAGGTCTCAAGGTTTTCACCATCACTCTCTTGAACCTTTGAGACAGCAACAAGGTGAGACGTATTCATCAATCTGAACACTTTCAAGTGGGTCAGATTATTTGTTACAAATAAATTGCCTAAAAGCATAGCGCGCTCTTTTTTCTCCCTCTCTTCAGGAAAAGGATTTGGTTCTCATGGATGTCGTCATATTTGCATGGTAGTTTGTGCAAGGAAATGAGGTTTTTGCAATTATTCAGATTTTATGGCAGTGTTATTTGTCAGCTAAGTCCCGTGGCATTTTGCCTCTATGACTAGAGGACAGGAGATTTTTAGAATTAGATAAACTTGTATGACAAAAAGTAAATAAAGGCAGAATAACATAAGCCGTCACACTGTAGGTGTCAGGAAAAAAATTAAAAATTCTGCTAAAGACTTGTGCTAAATGAACTTTCATCAAATGAAAATGCTTTGACAAAGATTAGCTCTCAACAGGAGGCCTCCATTTGCAACAGCACAAGAGAGAAATAAGTCCCTGAAGTCAGTGGCATCACAATAATCTAAAATCACTGTATAGGAATCAGGCCTACAGGTGTATGATAAAATGATCCAACAGAGCAGTGCTTCATGCGCTGCAGTGCTAACACAGCCTTTTGCTGGAATGGCCCAAACAAATCTAAAGCCAGAGGGAGGCTTCATCAGGACCAATGAAGTGAATCCTGCTGGAAGCAGCTGATGCAGGGATGTGGCATCCTGTGGCCTGTCCTGCACCCACATGTTTTATCACTCCTGAATTTCTTTTCCAGATGGAACATCCTTGGGCTTCAAGGTGCTCTCCTCAGCTCCTTCATCGAGCCCACGTACTTGCACAGCATCATTGTGGGAAGCCTCTGTCACACTGGTCACCTTTCCAGGGTAATGAGCCATAGGATAGAAGACATTGGTCAGCTGCCAGCTTCATATCGGCATAATCAGCTGCTTCTCAGTGGTAAGCACACACCTGCCTGAAAGACAAACGATACCCTTTCCCATCACTAATTGCACCAGTCTCCAACAGGAAAGTTAGCTTCTTGGTACTCATTTACATCAAGTTCAGTATCTCCCTCTAAACTGCATGTTTTTCTCTTTCACTCTCCTTTAGTAATAAAAATACACAACATCCCTCACAATAGGGTGCAATCAATGGGTGGTCCCCGAGTAGGGGAATTCCTTTGCTGCCAGTGAAGTTCAAAGGAATATTAGTGGGAAGAAATGGGAAGGACTCCTGACTTAGAGAGCAGCAGCCGTCGTGCCTAACTGGGGCGCAGCTCCTCTCTGGTGGGTTACTGGAGTACGAAGGTTCACGTGTCTGCCTGTCTCCAGCAGCTCATTTCTCTTCAGTTAGCGCACACTCACTCAGCCAACACCTGGGGACGCTTAAGGGATGAACTTCCAACAACAACCACTCTTGTAGAGGTTGTCATCACTGCAGGAGGGATGGTGGAGTACGATATCTTTGAACTCCTCAGCTGCGGAGACAAGACGCTTCCTGAAGGCTATCAATTGGTGAAGCATTACAGCAGTGTAAAAGTCTGTTCGTGTAAAGCATTTATGCATATGCTTAATTTTAAGCATGTACCCAGCATCCTTGAAGTTGGTTGAGATCTAAAATGAATATGCATATGTAGCTGGTTTCCTGAACGGGGATGGAATATTAAATGAGGAGTTTTAGGCACGCAGACATGTCTGTTAGAGAAATGGGCCATATACCTGTACTATCACCGGAAAATTAAGGCCTCGAGTGGTTATAAAGGTCACCAATGGCCAACTGGTAAGATATATGACACAGACAGCAAGTGAACCAAGGTGTGCTGGTACCCCAAACTCATGTTAATCATTAGCCCATGCCTTTTTATTTTCTGAAAAGTAAGAATTTGTAGAATAAAGAAACTGATAAGTTTTAATTCAGTTGCTCTTTTACATGCAATGAGCACAAAAAGATTGGCAGTGAATACCAGCTGACAAGGAAAACTAGTGCTGTACTAAGACTACTGAAATCAGAAAAAAAGTGTGAGAGTAAACAAAAGATTTGTAAAAAACAGGGAGGACATTTTCAGTTCTTCAGAAGAGGGTAATGCTCACCTGAACCAGCCTGAGACTGTCTGACACTGTACCATAATCTTCTTTGCCCATTCTCTATTTGTGGAAAGAAAAGGGCCTTTGTTCTACCGAAAGAATTGCAAATGGCTTCTGTGGATATATGAAACAAGTGCAAATGTGTTACACTAATGTACTTAACACATTTAAAAATTGCCAAGGTGAATAAGGCTTCTTTAATCCACTAAATAATTACTCTGTGCCCTGGAGAGTGACCAGATCACTTCAGAAGACTTCCAAAGAAAAGGCAGAGAACCTAAAGGGATAATGCAAAACAATGTCCAATAGCAATGGTAGTAAGAGTTCTTCACTTACTCCACCACTTTGTCCCAACAATATCTTGCCCTTTTTTTGCTTTTATCTCTTTATGATCAGCCCTTATCAGACAATATTTCAGCACAAAAAACGTGGGTCACCACATTCAGGTGATCACATAGCAGCTTTCTGCTACTACAGAATTAAGACTGATGGGCAAATACGAAGAAAAAGGAGATTTTCTTCTCTTACTGCTGCCCTCTCCAAAACGAAACACTTGACTGTTCTAATAAGAGGCAAGAAGATGGTGGAGAGTTTCTCCTTTGGCGCTGTGCTCCACTTAGGCTCAGCAAGCTCTTATGTTCCCATCTGCCTCACTCCATAAGGCAGTCCATTTCCCCTCCACTCACTTCTTCCCACTCAAGCCATTCCTTTCAAAGACATCTGCCATACACTCAGATTTTCTCAAGTACATCCTCTTTTTCTGCCAAAAAGCTTTGTCCCACATCAAACATTAAGATTTTCTATGCATACTCAGGATTTCTGGACCTGCAGCTCAGTAGCTTCAAGCTGGCTGGGGGACCATGAATACCAGAAATCTCCAGTGAGCATGTACGTGTCTGTGGGCAGTAATGCACAGCGAGTCCATCCCATGCGGGTCCCCGTGTACACACTGGCCGTGCACAAGCAGTAGTGTTGACATGTTCACATCAGGCACGGCACACCCACCACACCGCACAGGCCCCTTGCTGTTGTCAGGGCAGTCGTAGCGTGCTAGCCCTACTCTGAAGATAAACAGCTCCCTCACAGCCTGTTTCACAGAGCAATCACTTTTTTTTCTGCCTAGGCTGAAAAGCCTTCTGCTTTCCACCCACCACAGCAAACCAGTCCATGCTGAGCAATCTCTCTCATGTGGGAGAATGTGCTCAGCCAGGAGAACCAGCCCCTTGAAGCCTAGCCCCATGCATGCAACCCATCTTCAGTACGCCTTACTCAGAGCCCTTGCTCCTTCACTAGTTGCTAGCAATCACGTACAGAGCAGACAGGCAAAAGAGAAGGGCTGTTTGCTTATGTCAGAGGCCCTGCCTTCTTGGCAGACCGTGGAGAGGCACTGCTGCCCGCCAAGGCTGCTCTCCACGATGCATGCAGCCCTTGTGGTCCCTGGGCACGAGCATGGGCAGGGGAAGGTTTCTGCCCCCTATGTATCACTAGGTGCACTGCAGAGTTGTGATATTACAAGCATGGCTTGGTCCCAGTGGTCCTGCAGCAAGCAGCTCAGGGATTTCCAGATATCTTTCAGATCACTTTTACTGCTGCCACTTTTCCATCCCAGCCTCTCTCTCTGTCTCCAGATCTTTCTTCCCCATGGCTCCAACTTCTGCTTCCTTAACCCCCCCAAAACCAGGCAGCAGCCTTCTGGCTGCATCCTAGTAAAGTCCCATAACAGGTTGAAAGCCTTCAGTTCCTCATGAGGATTGTGAGTGTTAAGGACCTTCAGCTCTGAACAGGATCGGATCCTTATTTTATTCGCAGGCTCTGACAGTTGTTCCTCAAGAGGAGTCGCTGAGACAATACGATGTCAGGGATACAGAGATGAGAGGTGAGGATGCTTCAGTGGAGTACACCATTGCCTTTCACAGAGTCCTTTAGGTTCCCAAGTTATGAGAGTGCTGGTTTTTATCTATTTCATGTTCTTTTTCTTTACTTTTTTTATTTGTCCTTATGACAAAATTAGTTTAGCCGAGGAAGAAGGAGTGATAGTTTAGCCACCGGGGAAATTCTCAGGTTCTGTGTGGTTTAGCACATACAGTGTATGTATATTTTACAAGGGGAGTAGGTCAAAAGGCTTATCCGTTTTTGAACAGCTTAGCTCCATTTTTAACTCTGCAGTGCAGCCAGCCAAAGAGAAGACTGTGTAATGCAAGTATCTGGGAAACTCCGCTCTCCAGACTGCAAGCTTCCATGCTGCACTCTGTCCCTCCCACAATTCTCCTCCTCTTCATCCCAAACACTCGTTATGGGAAGGAGGAAGGGACCCACAGCTGGCCAGGAAAATCTCCCCATTTTCCAAACCTCGCTGTTACTTTGGCAACATGCCTCTACTTACCAGAGGCCTCTGGGTCTCCCACTGGGGCACATGATGGCATCCTGTGTGGTTTCTACCAGCCCTATAGCATCATATGACTACCTACGTCACCAGTATACATAAGACCAAAATGACATCCACTTTCATTGTGTCTCCACAGGGTACAGGGAAACGCACTTGAAGCGCTGAAGGACTGAAAACGCAGTAAGAGGTTTAATAAGGGATATAACCACAGCGCAGTTACTGCTACGCTGGGTTGGCACTGCACAGGAGCCTAATGGCTCTTATCTGGCCCCAAGCACATACCTATGTCCATGAGTCATTGTCAGAGATTTCAAAGAAGTTAGAAATTCATCAAAGGAGTCCTACTGTCACTTGAAATATCTGCTTGTTTCATAGCTGGCTTCTTTCTTCTCTGAGACTTTTGTCTGGAGAACTTTCTCTTTGCTTTCCATTCTGTTTGTGGGTTTTCTTTGAACAAGAAGATGCAGTGGGAGGAATCTGTCTCCCTCCATCTACATTGTTTTCATCTCTCAAGTCATTATTTGTAATCTTCCCTCCCCCACACATCTGAGGGAGCTGATACTGCAGCCCCGACTAAAAAACTTACATTGCTGAGGTTTATGCTACTTTTCTCTTACCTGGAAAACTGCCAACAACATATTCAGTGACTAATAAAATGGGCACCCAGCAAAAGCCATTCAGAATTTGTTAAAGTCCAAACTACAGCAACCATCGACCATGCAATTCCACCTTCCAAGTTCCTCCCAGGGATCAAACAAGCAAAGGATTTTAAATTGCAGGTGTCCTTCAGGTATAAGGATGACAATTATTTTTGTCATCTCATCAATGCAGTACAAACGTTTCAATGGAAAGGAGAGTCACAGTGTGGGATGAGGTATCCTGAGATAACTCCTTGGCCCCTCGGAAAAATGGTCATTGAGATTTTCCGCTCACACCAGCCTCAGACAGATGGAAATCCATTCGTTCACTGGGATTACCCTTGGGTGGGTTTTTTTAGAAGAGAGAAAAACCCTGTGTCATTTTTATTGCCTTTTCTCTTAAAACTAAGGCTAATCTGAAGGGTATTCTAAGGAAGCACAAGGTTTTGCTGGGAGAAGGAGGAGAATGGGGACAGGTTTCAGTTTATATCCCAGAACACTCAAATTTATGTCATTTTCACAAAGATTTTTTTTTTCCTTTTACTTCCTACAGTCTCTTCTTGTTTTCTTTATCGTGTCATTTTGCAGCAGGGTGTTTTACATAAAGGAGAGAAAATAATCCTTATTATTTGGGAGTTACCTTTCAAATAATGTCAGAATAATTATCTTACAGGAAAAAAAATATTTTTTAAATGATTAAAAAGAATCAAAAACATAATAATCAGAGAATATATCCAGGCTTGCCGTCCCATTTGATTGTCACGAGTCTCATAGTGTGTTCTTTTAAGCTTCCACCCTTGCGTTCAGATGTGAAAATATCTTCTACTGATGTAAATATGTATATTTGTATATGACAGCTGAGAAAACAAAGCATGAAAGCCTAACCTGCACAGACACTGGAGCAAATTTGCTGGTCTTGCGGACGTCCTCCACAAGCGTCCACCTCCAGAGGACTGGTCCGTGGGACCGGGGAAGGGGTTCATTATCTCCATAGGAAGGGCACCAGGGCTCATGAACGGCTGCAGCTTCTCCCTCTTGCCTCTCTCGATGCTACTGTGATACCCCTGCAAGGAGGACTTCTCCCTGGAAAAAACCGCCAGAGAGGTTTTACTGATTTCCAAATGAAATCTATGGCTTCTCCCCCTTCTCTTGCATCCCCTTCCATTGCACACGTCATTTACCACGGGACGGGAGAGGACACTCTCTCCTGGTCCCCAGAGTGAATCATTGGTAGCAGCAGACTATCATTTATTGATCAAATAACCCTGCAGGACTTCTGTCCCTCAGTCAGCGCAGATGACTGTCCCAGGGGAAAGCCTGATGCAAGCACGGCTGCTCTGACGGGAGGCACAGATGTGCCATGCGGACGTGCCCTTGCCTTGCCCCGGTGCCCCTTCACACAGCCCCTGCATGGCTTGCACACAAATGTGAGCTGCTCGCTGCTGCAAGGATCACCCGGGTGTTCTGCAGTGCCTTTCTCTGGAATGGTTCATGGTCGTCTACCTACACAAAGCTCCTGTCAGTTCAAATTCCATTTCTTCTTCTCCCCGGTCAGTGTTTTCACAGCATTTTTATTGATTTAACGACCTGTGGCGTCTTTGCAAGGCAGGAACTATCTGAACGTTTGCCGTATTTTTTGGCACTCAACCCCTTAAGCTTTTGGGTGCTATCTTGACAGAGATTGGTGCATAGTGTCAAACAGCAGATTCTGATCTGTTTGTGTCAGTATAGAAGTACTTGAATAGCAATAGAGAGCTATCTGATTTTCAAGCTTTCAGCTTCTAGTCTGTTGCCAAGGTGAGCTGGAGTTTTAGATGCAAACTGATCTGTTATCTCAGAAAAAAAGGAATTGAAAGAGGTGTTAATATGACATGAATGTGTATACAAATCCCGGGTGAGGTTATGACTTAACTGTAATTCTCCTCTACATGCTGCAGCGAGTTCTTTCACGGTGACCGAGACTACTTCTCCAGTGCAAGCTTTGCCAATACTACTCAGCGGTTGCGTCGTCATATTATTTTTTTCCCTTTAACGGCCACTTTTCTCACTCTGTGGGTGCTCAGTCCCATGTCCCTGTGGTTCTTGTGGCTGCCTCTCAGGGCAGAGTGGACTGTGCTGGCAGGTATCTGGAGCAGAAAGAGAGCATCCTTCTCCCACATTAATTCCCATGCTCTGGCGCATCCTCACAATGCGGTCTTCTCCTGGAGGCAAGGTGCCATGCCGCCCTTCACCTTTCCCATGATCTCGCCCAGCTCGCTGAGCAGCTTACGGAGTTTGGCATGTCCAAAAGCAGCCACCAATGCTGTGTTTTCCATCAGCACCGATCTCCTCCAGTTCTGAGTGAAATCAGCCAAAGCTCATGGTGTGCATCTGCTCTAAAAATGCTATCCCTGTGCACAGGTGGGAAAGTGCTGACTTTAATCTCCCTTCTTTAATCTATTCCTCTCTAAACAGCCTGAATCGGTACTTCTCTCCCTCTGCAAAAGTTCTTTGAAATCCTTCAGTGTAAAATGCAAAGGATCTTTCTCTGCTGCAGCCCACCAAGGAACAATAAAAGCAGTTCGCCATCAAGCTGTGAAAACAATGAGATGTTATATGGAGCTCAGCTCTAGCCCAGGCAGGATGGGCTAAAAGTCAATCCTGGCCTCTGCTCTGCGACTGGGCCGGCTCTGCCAGGTGGCTCCTACCCAGTAGGGCAGTCCTGAGCTGCCAGCTCACCTGGATGGCCTTTCTTGTCCAAGTTTGCAGGGCCAGTGGTATGCATAGGAAACTAGTAGAGAGGGAATCAACAGCTGGATCCAAACACACTATCAAATGCCCACGTTTTCCAAAATATTCAGAGTGCCTCAAGTTATCCTGTCTTTTCCAGGCTGGGAAGCTCCAAATGTTGATTGTCTGCTCCCAAAAGCACTAATGTCCACTCTGGCATTCATCCTGTGCTGGAAAGCAAAGCAGCCACTTTCTTTATT